TGCCCCTGGCAGAGCATGGGAAGCTGAAAAGTCCTTGCCTGGTGTCAGCACTGCTTAACACACTGATGTCTAAGTTGTTGCTATCAACGTTCTTCTCCTACTAAATCCAAAACACAGCACTATGCCTGCTACTAGGAAGAAAATTAACTCTACCCCAGCCGAAACCAGGACGATGACATAAAGGCTTGGTTTGGATTCTCAAGCTTCTCTCTCTAACCATGAGAATTAAAGAGAATTTGAATTTAAATGGAAGCCAAGGCTTGCTTGGCTTTGCGTTTCGGGGATGCCAGGGCTTTCAGAAGCACGTACATACTGTCAGATGGCACTAACAGAAGTGCAGCTCCACAGGCGGGTCTGGCATCCCAGAGCAGGCAAAGGAGACCTGCCATGCTGATTTCCACTAAGATCCCTCTCCCCCCATCCCACCTTCACACCTCTCCTTCCGAAATAGGAAGCTGAAGCTTGAAGGTTTAATCGCCTTGTCTGATCACTGGCTGCCTGTGATGGGATTGAATCCAAGATGACTAGATGATCCAAGATGACTTAGAGAAGCCCAAGTGAAGTTCACTAATTGAGCACAAATATTACCTGAGTGAAGCTAAATCAGTGTAAGGCAACTGAGCTAGGAAAAAAAAAAAAAAAATGTTTTTTGCTTTGTGAACTGTAACAACTAGATTAATTTCACCACTTTATTTCATAAAGCATAGAAAAAGTTTCAAGAACACTTTGGTTTATCAAGACAATACATAGTTAAGCAACTCAACCCAAGATCTGGGCAGCTTTACAATATAATCTGCATTTTAAACAAAAACCAGAACCCCCCCACCACCCCCCTCACACTGAAATATGCTCCCGACAGACTTACTGGTGCAAGGCCCTATGCTGAAATGAACCTGCAGTTCCTGCGGCTGGGCCACGAGATGCTGGGAGAGCAGCCGAAGTCTGGGGCAGAGCACACGCGCCACAGCCAGCTTCGGAGCGCACCTTTGGTGTCACCTGGGGGTCTCTGAACTATTTTTAATGTTTGGTTAGCAAGCGCCTGACAGAAACCCGCTGCAAGGAACACGGGCAGATTAAAGACCTTGTGCGCTCAGACCGTGCTCAGTGCTCGGCTATGTACAAAAAGACAATTTGGGGATTTGTACTAACCAGAGGTTTTAACAGCTTTAGGGTTGGAAAGGGGATGGACAGAATTTCAGGGGAGAAGGTGTTCAGTATATCATATGAGATTAAAATGCAAGTATCTTCACATCGTTTGACTTTTTTTAATCCTTCTGAAACTTTGGGGTATCTGGAACATTCTCCATCCTCATTTTCACACGTGACAAAGCGTTTAAACTTTCTTTTGCAAAAGCAAAGCCTGCTGCCTTCTGCAAGAAAGGCACTTACTCCTAGTGCAGAAAGGGAGACGAAAGGAAAGGGAAGTGTGGTTCGGCCCCTGGTTTCAGGCTCTGGAGCCGCGTGTTGTTTCCGTTCCAGGGGAGGATGGCCTGCACTGCTGTGCAGCGGCGTCTGTCCAGCAGCATCGCGCAGCGCCGGCAGAGCCATCTCGTGGCGACACGCGTGCTCGAAAAGAGCCCCAAAGCCACTGCCCACAGGAAATTAAAAGAACTTTGTCACTTAGAGCAGGTTCAGTATTTGTTTCCCTATTAAAAAAACTGTATACAAAGTTAAGACTCATCACCAAGTTTGTGAACAGTGAGTGCACGAATGCAGAACGTGCATTTACTGTGCAGAAAGCCACAGTTATGTCACAGACCTAGCTTTGTACCCAATTCCTCAACAATAACACAAACACTTGAGGACCAATATTGGTCCTCACTTAAACCAGAGCATTTCACAGGAGCCCTGCTGCCTGCCGTAAGCTGTCAAAGCACAGTATTTTCCTTTCACTTGGAACTTGCTCCCACCCAAACATCTCTTCCTTCGCACTTCAGGATGCGCATCCCTTACTTCACATGAGCTCCCTAACAAAAACTGCCGCTACAGTCTCCGTGGCTTTAACTGGAAGCTCCACAGTACCCGCTAAATTCCTTGGAACCGAGAAGGAAAGCTAGCTGCAAACAGCGGAGCACACACCCGAAGTGATCCTTCAGCGTTATGTAAAGCCCACAATGTCATAAGAGGATTACCCCAGAATTTGCCAAATTATGATGTCCAGCCAGGTGCTAAAAAGAGTAAAACCCTTTCTCCTTAAGCTATGCCTTTCCAATGATATTTTAAAAGTTAACTGGTATTAGAGCTTTATTCTAGGACACATTTGTAGGTGACCATACAACTGCTCCTCACATCTCTCTCTTCTCCATCTCCCTCTACTCGCATGGTTCACTCAGGTCCATGACGGGGGCCCATCTGATCGTTAAACTTGTCTAATCTGGCTCCTGGGTTTTGGAAAAAAGGGAAAGAAAAACCTGGAGCAGAGATGGAATAGCTAGAGCCTGACAGGACATATGATTAAACCTCTTCTGACTGGGGAAAGGCAATCTCAGTAGCAGAGACTGTGCTGTCTGAACACATTCGTGCCTTTTAACATAAATAAATTAACAAGCGGGGGCTGAAAAGCCTGATCCATGAAAGCTACTCTTCTCCCTCAGGAAAACAAAAGCTATTTGCAGTCATATTTGGAGCCAGGGATGTAAAACGCTCGCTGCCTTTCACACAGCAGTGCCCCCCTTCCCAGAAACTTGCCATTCTGCTCCAAGCACTGCACTGGCACGACACCCAGCACCCCACGGGGGCCTCGGAACAGCGCGCCCAGGCTCACCGACTGCCTCAACAAAAGCAACTGCAGGAAGCTTTACTGTATTTTTTTTTTTTTAAAACCAGTTCTAAATATTGAATAAATCTCATGGAACAAATAGGCACCCTTATCGCTTCAGGCAAAACCAGATTAGACAAATTAAGACCTAAAAGGATCAAATCCTAAACCTGGCCTGTAGTAAATTGACACTGCTTTAAACCGCGGAGCTCCACAGCCCTTCCCCTCCTGGTACAAGGTGGGAAAGCTGAAAACCATTATCTTAGACACTCAAGGCAAGCAACCTCTCCAATTTCTTCAGTTAGGGTCTTGTCTTCATCTTGCCAAAGATTTAGATAACGCTCGTAACTGCTCTCCAGCTATCCCAAAAAAGGGAAAAAGAAATCTCCAAACCAAGAACAAGAAATTGCATCCCCCCCGCCCTCGCCACGTAGGAGGGAAATGAGTTCTGCTCAGCAGACAAACAACTGGCTGCACGGCCAGGGGACGCACTGGGGAGGGGAAGGGGTTAGAAGAGCCAAGCGATGCAGATGAGGAGTCTGGCCCAGAGGTAGCCCCTTGGCACCCCAACAGCTCTGCCTCCGCTCTGCACACTGGGACCGGCAGTCTTCTCACAGGGCAGTTCAGCGAGTTTTAATTACTAAGCAAACCCAAAAGGCCTCATTATACCTGCTTCAAGAACCTGAAGTTATTTGAAATAGTGAGTTATGATGGTAATGTTCAAGGGATACACATCTGGGAGGATGCAACTTAAGGAACTTGTATTTTAAAACCAATATTATATCATCATTTTAACACTAACTGAGAAATTCTGGTGCTGAGATGTTTTAGAACCTGGAACTTCTAGAACAAAGCACTATTTTAAAACATCCTTAAGCCACATGCAAAGTGTTAACAAGCCTTCATGTTCCTCTGTTACTCCCACTTCTGCAATGCTAAAATTAGAGCACCTACCATTAGAGGTGCTATAAATGAATACAATAATACACATCTGAATTGACCAAAGCTCAAAGTTTTATAATTCCTTTACCCACTTCCATCCTTCCTACTTGTTTGTAACCATTTAATGAACTATGTTAGCATGGAAAATTCAAGATTACTTTTTCTGTATTACAGGGCACCCCTTCTAAACAATGCAAATAAGTGCCTTAAAGAGACCAGAAATCCCCACTGTGTAACTCCCCATTCTGCAGTCCTGGAGGTCCTGGTTATTCTGATGGGCGATCATTATAGTCCTTCTGCACATCCCACTTTCATCAACGCTGATGAGCGTCGAGATTAAGGCAAAAAAAGAAAAATCTTTCTTCTGAAAGAAGTCACCAGGTTACCTGTCTAGGAGCAAATGTTTTTTTCTTTTACATAGCATTGATCAAGGCCAAAAAAAAAAAATATCAAGGCACTATTTGTCACAGGTGACTAGCCCCACTTGGCTGGGGGGAACACCACACAGGCAAAGATACAAAGAATTTAAATTGCTTATTGAGAAAGAAACCTAATGGATGTCCCCCAAATCTCACTGCTTTCCTTTCTACTCAGCTAGGGAAGCAAGTACCTGTTTAAACTTCTCCTTTTTCCTAAGTAGTTTCTGATAAAGCTATTAACACTAATAAATATCCACTGCGCTAGTAAGTGTTCATAACCAGCAGAGACAGCACCACATTTTACTATATATGCACATAACCAGGATATACACGCAGCAAGAAATCAAAGTAGACCCTGGATCAGTGCAGAAACCAAGCTTTAGCTATTAAACGTTCGAGCCTGAAGCTCACAAACAGTGTGGATTTATGAAGATGCTGACCTGCAGACCTCACCAGCAATCGCGAGTCATCGATCTTTACACCCTGGGATTTGCCATTACCCGGAGCAGTGGTTACCAAGTCTTGCACAGTTCTAATATTTTGAGATGGAAAGCACTGTATATATGAGAAGCGTAGCAGTCGCACGCTTTGGACACTGCTTTCTCCGAGAAGCCCAAGGCAGCCCACAAAATATTAGCATAAATCATAGCATCTTCTGTGGACTAGTAGTGACAGCTTATTTTACAGGCTGAAGAACTGAACAGAAGGTAGAGAAGCAAGAAACGGGATTTGATCTCAACTTCTGCCTTTAAAATAAGTTCTTCAGACTAAAACCAGCAACAGATAAAAGTTTTAGCAGGCCTAGCAATATTACAGTAAGCAAAAGTGTTCTCTGATGCTTAAGTGACGCAGCTTTTTGGTCTTGTGCTTTAGACACTTACGTTCCACCTGAATACCGTCTGCATGGGGTTTGCTTTTTGGTTCCTGGCTCCCAGCTTTTGCATCGTCATCATCCAGCAGAGGAACATAGTCTGTTTTATCTACTGTTTCTCCGACCACGTCATCAAATTTCTCTGCTTCCAGAGTGGCAATGAAGTCCCTTTTCACTTCTTCCTCAATCTCGGGAGGTGGCTCTGTCAGAGCATCCGCAAGACTGAGGTTGTGATCCAAGTCAGCCATGCTTTAGCACCTTTGCAACCTGAAAAGTGATGTGGGGAAGAAGAAAAAGAAAATAGCAGTTTAATAAGAGACCTTTTAAGTTTACTCAGAGTTTGATGTTGACAACTGTGTGCCTCCTGTGCCCGTAACACAATAAGAAACATTTGCTTTAGCACTCAATTCCCAGATGTTTACAAAACCCCCACGCCAGTACAGAAACAAACAGCTAGATCATCTAAATCGGGTTTTACTGCATGAACATTATGTTCGGGACATGGTTTAGTCTGGTCTACCCTTGATTGGTTTAGTGTGGACTTGGTAGTGTAGGTGAATGGTTGGACTGGATGATCTTAAAGGTCTTTTCCAACCTAAACGATTCTATGATTCTATGTTTCATGTGATGTTCTATCAGAACCTTAAAAAAGAGAAAAAAGCCAGTGCCTGGCCAGCATTAAGTACAATCTTACACCGATTTCTGCCTTGCCCCAGATCTGCGAGTTAATTACATACCCTCAGCAGCAGAAAGGCAAATGACGCAAGCGAGTTTAGTTCTTGGGTTGGACTCCACCCAGCCTCCCCTATGGAGATTAGGGTTTTACATAATCTCTGATGTATACTGCAGTGATGCTTTTGATCCCTTTGATAGGGTCCTGCAGCATGTTTATGTCCTCAGCGAACCTCGCTAATACCAACAAACCCACTCTAGCCCTGGGATTTGTGCTGGAAGGTGAAGTTTTAATAATGCCTACGTGAAAAACATATAGTGAAGTTCACACGTACGCATTATATATAAATCTGTAAATGGGAAACAAAGTAGAAAGAATCACCATTTCTCTTTTCTCCCTGATTTGTATCTCAGCATTCAATTTAACTTCCTGGCACTAACCAGAAGATGTACCTGAACTGATTCATCTGTTTTGCAGCTAAAGCTTTCAGGTTGGCATAACAAATACACCCATAAACAATTATCTATTTTTTCCACATTTCATCCTTTTGAAGTTATTATTAGGAACAACACCCAGCAAATCCTGCAGTGAATTTATAGGAGCAAAACCCACCACTTCTGATTGACAAAAGGCACATTTCTGAAACTTTCTTTCAGAGCAGTGTTAGTCAGTGTTCTGTATGCACGATGCTATCAAAACAGCAAAAGATATCAAAAGCTCCAGTCATGCATTTTAGCCATTTGCAGAAATAGGCTGGTACGAGCTGTAAAAACCAAAAACCATAAAGGGCCATTAGTATCTAAATAGGCATAGTTACAACTCCTACTACAGTAGCTCAGCCTCCTTTAATTTTGGTCTACGTTTGGAAGCACAAAGCAATTTGATGCTGATCTGTATTAGGTTGGCTATTAGATGTGCGGAGACTTTCCCTGTTAATGGAAGGTTTACTCTGTCTTAGGAGTCCGGCGGGCCAATGCAGCAGTGCCTGGTTGGGAATCAGTAGAGAACAAGTACATGGAAGTGAAGTTTAGGGTTTCAACAACAAACTCATCCAAACAAAAAGATAGGAAGGAGCTTAGGTGAAGCGAGTCGTCACCTTACAACCCATTCTCACTATATTGGACAAGAACCACCAAGCCACATTAGGAAAAAAGCGGAGCTGAAGACACAGAGCTGCGCACGTCAGGAGGCACAGACACACTCACAAGAAAACACAATGGGCATTTGTATGCGTTGGTTAATGAAGGGCTGAGCCAAGTGGCCACTGTGCAGCAGCCCAGGGTCACCGACTTACACGGTGATGGCAAAACACAGATCCTCTTGTTCCAAAAGCACAAAGGCTCCCACTCCTTGAACTACAGGAAATTCTTCGTCAGCAGTATACGGCCACTGACACATACCTACAGGCTCAAGCCTGTATAAGGCAATATTTTGCATTCTTTGTAAACAATGGTATCACACTGATATTGCTGTTTATGTAATCACATGCAAGTATATTATGGAAACTAATTCAGTTAAATCTATTCTTTCTTTTTTTTTTTCTCCTTTAACAATAAAAGGTCAGACTTCAAGCCAGATCCGACTTCAAGCAGCAACTGCAGTTTTTGTTGGTTTAGATAAAGACCCTGAAGAATTACCACTTAATGGAAATCCAGAGGTGAAAGGTTTGGCGCTCTTAACCCTTTGTGCGGGGTCACAGTTGAATGAGTTCCAGTTATCAAAAAAAGCCATCTTTATACTTAAGTGAAAGAGTCTTGTTAAAAAAAATTCAGGCTTCCTTTCAGATAGAGTTCCATACCAACGCTATTTTCAAGACGCACCATCTCACCCCACCCAGTTTACAGATCTGCACACAACTGGCCGCATACCCTTCACTGAGTTTCAACCAGGGAAGTAAGTCACTTCCAGAAGTTTTATCTTTGCATTGGCCAGTCTCTTTGAAGGAAGAAATGGGGCTCTTAAGTAGTCATCTCTTCAACCATGTCCTCCCTTGTTTTCAACTTGAAATGATGGCTTTTAGGTCAGTCAATCTCAGAAAAAAAAAGTTTGGAGCTATGAACATTTCATCCTTTTCTTCTGAAAATTTCATTTAGCATAAGGAAGAAAAAACAATATTTAAAGTTTTCAACAAGCCGCTTCATGATGCTACCAATTATAGAATCATTCAGGTTGGAAGAGGCCTTTAAGGTCATCGAGTCTGACCATGAAACATCAAGTTCAACTAAGAAATGCAAGAATCAAGACTATGGTCAGAAAATAGCTACAGAACATCCAATAACTCGGGGAATAAGCAAACAAAGGCTGGAGTGAATACATCAGATGCTGAAAGAAAAATCCGACTCCTGTTCCTCACAGCAGGCATGCCAGGTCGGGCTGAATCAGACTTTGCAGGTGTCACAAGTCCTTCACGTTTGCAGTATCGTATTTGGTTCTGCACACTCACCAGCGCAGCAAGGTTTACCCATCATGAACCTGAAGCTTTATGTAAATGGCATTTAGGAAAACCTCTCTTTTTAACCTCACTCCAAATGCTCATTAGCTCATTATAGCCCGTAAACCCAACTATCAGCTCACAATTTTCACATGTTCTCTTCAGATTAAACATTCCTG